GACCTCTTCTAGGCTCCCCCCCGCCAGGCCCTCACCACCCTATTGTCTGTGTCCATGGGTGATGCATAAATGCATACAAGTTCTTTGGATGATCTCCTCCCACCCAGCCACCCTCCCCCACCTTCCCTCTGAGATTCCACAGTCTGCTCCATGCTTCTATGTCTCTAGATCTATTTTGTTCATTAGATTCCACATATGAGTGAGATCATGTGATACTTGTCTTTCTCTGACTGGCTTATTTCACTTAGCATAATACTCAGTTAAAACATAGTAAAATTAGGGGCCCAGAGCATGATATTCATGCACGGGTAGGGTCCCTAGCGGCTGCCAGTTGCGGCCAGAACCTCCCTTCCCTGGCTGCCGGCTGCCAGCTGGGTCCTCCCTTCGCTCCGCGCCGCCCCCTGGTGGTCAGCGCACGTCATAGCGAGCGATTGAACTCCCGGTTGGTTGAACTCCTGAGGGTGCACTTTTATATATATACTATATATATAAAAGCCTAATATGCTAAGTGTCTGGTCGTCCCATGACCGGTCGACTGTTCAATCAAAGCGTAATATGCTAATGATATGCTAAGGCCGCACAACTGCTTGCTATGATGTGCACTGACCACCACCGGTAGGTTAGCTTGCTGCTGGGGTCCGGCCTATCGTGACTGGGCGAGATGGGGCTGGACATGCCCTGGAGCCCTCCTGTGGTCCCTCCCCTGTCCCGATCATGCACCGGTGTGGTCCCTCAGCCTGGCCTGCACCCTCTTGCAATCCGGGACCCCTCGGGGGATGTCGGAGAGCCAGTTTTGGCCCAATCCTGCAGGCCACTCCCCTCAGGAGGGTGCCAGATGCAGGGCTCATGGCTGGTGAGCACCGCTACGGTGGCGCTAGCCTCTCCCAATCGGGCCTGATTAGTCATGAGCCCACGGCAGGTGCAGTGGGGCTGGGATGAGCGGGAGCGGCAGGTAGGAGCTGCAGGCGGTGTTGGACTGCGGGTTTTGGCCCGATCCCCGCAGGCCACCCTGAGGGACCCCACCTGTGCAGAATTCATGCACTGGGCCTCTAGTAGATAATATGACCATTCAGTTCACCAGAGAAAACAACGGGGTGGCAAATCAACACCTGGGAAGACACTCGGCATCTTTATTTACTAGGGAATGAGACCAGCTCTGCTTCATTAGAACAGCTAACGTGGAAGAAAAAGCCCTGAGCTTCCAGGTGCTGTTGGCCTCCCTGTCTCCTCAGGCCAGGAGCCGTGGTGGTGCCGGGCTTTTCATGGGGTTGTTGTCAAGGGCCCTGGCCCTCGGGAGGTCTGGTTTGAATTGCAGAGAGTAGACAAGTGGTGCTTCATGATGGTTTATTGAATCTGATGCTAATCTGACAGTTGACAGAACAGAAAAGGCTTCCGCTGTTAGGAAGCCCTCCTCCACGGGGCGTGCTTAACAAGAGAGTGGGGCTGTGGACATGAATCCCAGTTCTCTTCTGTTCTGGGTTTCCTTTCATTGGATCTTTACATTTTGGACTGATTTTTATCTGCTTTAAGCTAATGCTGTGACACAAACTCCTAGTTAGATAGTGGTTGGATTTGTTTTTCATGTTTTATTCATCACATGGTGATCTTCTTCGTGCTGGTTGCAGGTGCTCCATCTCCTAGAGCAGCGGTGCTGGCCAACGGCGACCACGGGACGCAAGGGAATGACACTGCAGGTAAGTGGGTCCCGGATTCCCCAGTCGCAGTGCACACCTGGGTCAGCTCCTTGCCGAGGGTGATAATGGAAGCAGATGGGTCATTCTGTGATAAGGGTATTGTTGTTCTTGTTGGGTGTGTTTAAACCTAGGGCAACGGTTCTCAACCTGTGGGTCGCGACCCCTTTGGCGGTCGAACGACCCTTTCACAGGGGTCGCCTAATACCATCCTGCATATCAGATATTTACATGACGATTCATAACAGTAGCAACATTACAGTTATGAAGTAGCAACGATAATAATTTTATGGTTGGGTCACAACATGAGGAACTGTATTTAAAGGGCCAGAAGGTTGAGAACCACTGACCTAGGGCATTTGCCCCCTAACATCTCCAGCAGTGGAAAGGGAAGAGTGAATTTCCTTTGATATTCTTTGAATATTTGGTGTAGTTGTACCAAACAAGAACTGATGGACCTTAAAAATATGCTGTTAGAGGCAGAATAGTCATCATGGAGATGAGGCCTCTGGTCCTGCCAGCTCTGCAGGCAGGTCTCTCCCCTGAACACCCTGCACTCAGAGTGCTCCCGTGGCTCCGCATAGGGAACCTGTGAGCTGAGGATTAAAGTTCTTTTCTTCTCTCTTTTGCCCTCAGTCTGTTTTTTCTTTATTTTCCTCTTAACTGTTCATTTGGAAATCTGTCTCTGACTCTAACTCCTAGCCTGTGACCAGGGCTTTGATACTCTGTCAGCTAGCACCGAGTGCCTGTGGCTCCACCTAGCACCAGCACCGCCCCTGCCCCCGTGTATCTGCAGAGAGCGAAGTTCTCCAAGCAGCGGCCACGCCGCAGGGGTGCCATGTCAGTGTTCCCGGGGGAGCTGGTAGGAAGTGGTGTGGATGGGGGTGCTGACCGCACTTCGCTTGCAGTTGTGATCAGGCTGGCACTGTTGGCCCAGACAGTCTTCTCTGTCACCGACAGTGTGTGCCCTCGCGACGGGGCGGACGTTGGGTTCGCATGTCCGTGTGGGCAGACACGAGCGTGGCCTGGCCTGGTTCTCCTCTTGGACGCAGACCTCAGCCTCGAGAGCCTTCCCTTCCGGCGCTGCCGGGCTCTCAGTGCTGGAGCTCCCAGGCGCCTTTGCCGGCACCGCAGCTCCTCCAGGACGTAGTCGTTCCTCTGTGGCCTTTCGAACTGTGGCCTCTGTCTCTGTTCCTCAGACTTACCGATGCCTCGGTGCTGTTTGTTGTGACTGTTAGTTTTATCCAGTGACTTAGCATCCTTATTAGCAACTCATGAATTAGAGCTCTTCACCTGAAAAGCAAGAAGCAACCCGGAGTGCCACCGTAGTTTTGTGAAATGAAATTTTTGTATTTCTTTGATAATCGTCGTTATACGTGGTTCTGGCAGTTTCTGTGCCGACTTTGAAAACAAAGTCATCTGTATCATTTGGTTTTAAGAAAACATTTGTGATTAAAGAAGAAGCTTGAACATGAACTTTAAACATGAGTAAATGTAACTTCCCTTAACCAGGAGACAGTGAGGGGATTGATTGGCTTAGCTGGTGAAGGGCGGATGCCACTGCATCCAGGAAGGGAGCAGCTGTCGCAGCTGGAGGAGGTTTCTTCTCCAGCAGCAGGTCAGGTCTGATCGCACTTGATGTGCAATCGCTTCCCACGGCCAAATCTCACTAGGGCAGGAAACAAGGACGGGAAAACCACACAGCCTAGGCCTTACCGTCCCAAGACTTTTCCTCCCCCGGTTGCAAACCAGAACCCGCTGGCTGTGCGCTCCCAGGGGGATGAGGAGAGCAGGTCCTCCTTCCCCGGGGCGGACAGCTCGCACACTGAAGGGGTTTGCCTCTGAACCGGACACGGGACTGCATGAGAGCAGGTGCTTTACTGAAAATCCGGTGTTTCGTTGGGGTGGGAAGGAGTGGGGGAAGGAAGGTGCATGTTTCTGGAGCATGTGTGACTCATTCTAGTTTGGCCATCACTCACGGGAGCCACTTCGAAAATTCCCATTTCTGTTTCCTTCAGAATGTGACCTCCCGGCCTCAGAGCAGCGCAGCCCCCCTGGTAGCATAGGATGGGTTATGCGCCTCTTGCTGTGTTGAACTTGCTGTTGACTAATGACCTGTGCTTTTCTGCCCCTTCCTCCCCTTCCTCCTCCTCCCTCCTCTCTGTTTCTCCTCCTAGAAGCCTAGTGTCTCTCAGCACGGGGGCTGCGGACCACCCGACCAGTGGCCTTTCCTAAGCACCGCACACTCCTAACCTTCAGCATTCGCAGAGCTTTGCTTCCCCTCCCTGGACGTGTAGAGAAGAAGCTGAGGGTGGTTCTTCGGGGCCTCTTTCTGCTGATGCTGAGCAGCCACCTGCTTCCTCTTGTCCTCTGAGGGCTCGCTGGAGCCCCCTCCCCCTGTGAACACCAAGTACAAATGGAGTCTCATTTTGGTCTCTTTATTTATAAGGGTCACCTAATGTTTCTCATTTCTTGTTCTCTTTTTCAATTCATTTTATCATTTAATTCGCTCTCACATTTTTCTTTTCTTTAAACATTTTTAGTTGGCGTTTTCATTGGGTTTTCAGATCTCCCACCCAAATCAGGATATGGTAACACAGAGGAGAACGTGAGCTTTCGAAAGGGCTTGAGTCCACCTGATTTTATAAGGGTCACCTAATGTTTCTCATTTCTTGTTCTCTTTTTCAATTCATTTTATCATTTAATTCGCTCTCACATTTTTCTTTTCTTTAAACATTTTTAGTTGGCGTTTTCATTGGGTTTTCAGATCTCCCACCCAAATCAGGATATGGTAACACAGAGGAGAACGTGAGCTTTCGAAAGGGCTTGGGTCCACCGGACGGCAGGGACCCTCCCTCTCCTCCCCTTGCTCTCTCCCTCCGTGAGCTGACTTAGGGAAGGGGATTCGCTTAGGCACCCGCGTTTCTCTCTCCCTTTCTGAGAGCTGAGTGAGGCTGCTATTTAATGTAGAGGTTTCTAACTTGGAGGAGCTCTGATGAAACTTTGAAAAGTATTTCCTCAAATTAAATCGTCCTTTGTTAGTTGCAAGTTGGGCCAAAATTGTTTCTATTTGAAATGATCTATTTGTCTAGGTTTAGATTCTCCTGAAAATTTAACAATCTTATTATTGTGTGTGGAATTTTATAAGCAAAATTACCTTCTTCACATGATCATGAGCTGTGAGAAGTTAAAGAAATGGAACCCAGTATTGTTAGAATACTAGGCTGTTGATACAGGTAGAAAATGACTTCTCCTGGAACAACACAAGGTGAAACTAAATGGGAGCACAGTGAAGGCCAGCAGTGTCTCAGGTCCCTCAGGAAGGGATTGTCTGCTTGGACTCAGTCTCCGTTCAGGATTAGCGTCCTTTGCACTCGGCAGGTGCCAGGCCTTGGGGTCAGGTGAAGCCCCGGATGTCAGGTCCTTCACACGTTCTGAGGATTGTCTAATGGGACTTTATTTCCGTTTCTCATTTTTCCAGACTAATAGCTAAAAATTCTGGAAGCATTTGGGATAAGTACTATGGAACCTTTCAAATGACAAGCTGTGATTGGATCTTTAGAAATAGAATATAAAACATGGGCCATGTTTTGACATCTTAGAGGAATTCTGGTTTAAGATCTGGAATGCGAAATACTTTTAAGATTATTTTTTTGTTAATCCTTACCCGATGATATTTTTTCCATTGTTTTAGATCTGGAATGCGAAATACTTTTAAGATTATTTTTTTTTGTTAATCCTTACCTGATGATATTTTTTCCATTGTTTTCTAGAGAGAGTGAGAGGGAGGGAGGAGGGAGAGAGAAATAGAGAGAAATGTTCATGTGAGATAGATACTTCTATTGGTTGTATCCCGTGCGCACCCTTAACTGGGGCTGGCGAAGTATGTGTCCTTGACCAGGAATCGAACCCGCGACCCTTTGGTCTGCAGGCGGATGCTCTAACCACTGAGAAACCCGGCTAGGGCACTTTTTAAATTTTTTTTATCCTCTTACAGACCGTGCATGTTTTTATAATCACTAAGCTACTGATTATTTCAGATTAAAATAAATGTTACTGTGTTCTGAGGAAGAGTTTGAGATGTGCATAGTTTAGATCTTCTTATACAGAACTGCCTTTGGGGTGGTAAAATCAGAATATTATGCAAGTTTACACTGAGTCCCTACAGTGACTCCTGGGTAGTTTCTCTGCCAAGAGTTCCTTCCATGGGTTCTGGTGAGAAGACACATAAGGGAAGCACGTTTAAAGGGAAGAGCTTATTTTTACTTCTAAGGATTTGATCACACATGGAAGCTGTGACCATGGGAACCACACCATGAAATAAAACACAGCTCTTTCCCTTTGATGTGTGGCATTTGTTTCCTGGTGGAGATTTTTGGTTAGAGAACTTTTTACAACTGGTAGTGCTAACTTTTTAAAAGTATGTTTGGCATCTATCACTTCTAACCAGTCCCTGCAGTTGATGTGAATGACAGGCGGGTGGAGAAGCCTGGTGAGCCCTGCTGTGGCAGTGGTCAGGGCGCACACACTCCATTGTTGCCCTTATTCTACTTTTATTTCCATCTTGTTATGTGTTTGTTTTGTTTGAAGTTTATTTTTATCTAAGAATGTTTTTTTAATTTATGAAATTGAAAATTTCTACTAACAGCCTGCTAAAATTTATATATTGTTAGCTCACTCTCTTGCACTTGGATGTTTCATTTTGAAAGAAAAAAATTTTGTTTTACATACAGCTTTATATGAAGTAGCCAGTCCTGCCGTGAAATGCTGTGTTGCCATGATGGTTATACCTGAGTGGCCCAATATTTCACTGCGGAGATGACCAGGCTGGTTAGGATTGCTCTGTTGAAATGTGTTGTTTCTTATATGTAATCAAACTCAATCTCCCCTTCTCTTCTCTTCTCTTCTCTTCTCTTCTCTTCTCTTCTCTTCTCTTCTCTTCTCTTCACTTCTCTTCTCTTCTCTCTCTTCCCCAATATTGAAGATGTAGACCTTTGTTTTTA